CAGCGCGCAACTCGCCGCCGAGGACGCCGGCCGCGATCGTCACCTGGGCAAGCCGCCAGCCCCTGCCAGGCTGCGCCAGCTGCGGCCGATAAGCCCGCCACCAGCCTGATGCCGCCGCTGTCTGAGCACCCCGCTTGACCGGCCACTTGTGCCCCTGCGAGTAACTGTCACACTCCCTTATGGCTGGGTTTTCTTTTTAAACCCCCTGGTCAGGCGGGCTCCGGACTCTCAGTCATTATAGAGCTGCTGAAGACCAAGACACCATTACACTGCCGCCCCAGCTCTGGTCCAGGTGGCACCAAACCCAGCCACCTCCCTGGGCGACAGAGCCAACCAGGACCGCCTGGAACCATCACACTATGGAGGAATGCTGCTGGTACTTGGCGCTAAAGGGACTTCAGTGATTGTCTCGTAATAATCTGCATTTTCAAAATTTAATTTTTATTCATTATTACTATTATTAATTTGCTATAGAGCACGTGTGCTCACGAGAAAGAGAGAGAGTAAGTGAGGAAGCAAGTCGCCAGGTCCGGGATTTGGATTGTCGCTTTTTATGTACAAGTAACCGGTGCTCAGAAGTTGAGTCCTGAGAGAGGCTGCCTCAGCAGGACCAGAGACCAGGCAAAGCCTTCTGGGTCCCATGGTGACCTGGCTTCTTGTTCTGATCTTAGATTTGACCCCCATACTGTTGTCTCTACTCCTAGCATCTATCTGAGCATAGTTTTCTTGTCCCTTCTGATTAATTTCTCCATATTCCAAAAGGGAGGGTCTAAAACAAGTAGTAGGGATCCTGCCTTTTAAGCCAAGGAGTTACAGAGTTTTCTGTCTTTTTTAATTAACTATGTGTTTTGGACACTTTGCTTACTTCTCTAAGCCTCAGTTTCTTTATATGCAAAGGGAAGTTAAAGCATCTCCCATGTAGTTGACTGCAGTTCGAGTCCCAGATGCAGTGGCTTAAACTCACGCCGGGCACGTGTGCGTGCGTGCCCAAGATATCAAGAGCAGAATAGAGGAGAAGGGATTGCGGCGTGGCCATCCCCCCGGGGGGTGATTTCTCGCTTTCTATCTCTCTGTCTCTCTCTGTCTTTCTGGCAAGCACATGCGCCCTATAGAAAAAACCTCTCCAAAAAAATTAAATATAAAAAAGAATTAAAAATAAATGATAGGAATAAATGAATTAACTATTTATTCCATTCATTAATCGGTAAATGAGTTAAAGTGCCTAGTACTGTGCCTATCCTAGTACGTGTTCATGGTTTCCTTCCTTCTAGTCAGGTGCAGGGTTACCTGCTGGCCCTTGCTCCTGCCAAGTCTCGTTCACAGGATTGTTGTCCCCTGGCTTTCTTGGGTTCCCAGAGAACCTTTAAAAAGATCATGGTGTCATAGGGAATGTCAGAGAGCCCCTGGTATGATCCTACCTCTGCCTTTCAGCAAATGTCTGACCTTGGGCAGGTTTCTTTCTTTCTCTTTCTTCTTTCTTGCCAGAGGTCAGGCACGTTCCCTGGAGAGCATCAGAAAGAAGGTGTTGGAAAGTGAGAAAGCACCCCGCATGGGGATGGTCATGCCGCAATCCTACCTTTCAGGATTTTGGGCACACTCAGGTGCTCAGATGACACATGTGGATCCAGCTGCCTTAATGACCACATCACCAGCTGGCTCTTTTCTTAATTTAGTCTCTGAACCTGTGTAATAGGGGTATTAATAGGAGTAGAGATTATGTAGAGCACTCGGCACTTACAAGCCAGCTATTCATAGTTAATAATTCTTCTGAACTTGATAGTTCAGAAGAGGCAGAAGAAGAAAGGCTGGAACAGAAGCAGGGAGCTCTAGCACTCACTTTTGAAATGGCCCTGTCTCCATCCTGCCCTGTCTGGTACCTTGAGCTATCATAGAACTTGACTTGAAGTAGCAAAGAATTTAGTTGAATATTCTCCTCCAAAATGATTTTTCTCCTTATCCAGTTTACCATAAACAGGATTTTCTTCCTTAATCAACCAGAATTCCATTTCTTTAGAAGTCTAGGGGATGTTTAGATTATGTTAAGATACTCTGAGACAAAAGTGATTGGAATTGCTTTGTTTGTAAGAAAGTGGTGTGACTCAAGGTCGTAAAAAGGGATGATAGCCTCTCCAGTTTCAGATCAAATAAAATGTTGGCAGAGTATGAAGGAGATACCTGAAAGAGTAGAAAAACTAAGACCGTAACAAACAACCAGAAATAACCATGAGGAATGCCTGTCTGTCTGAGGCAACTCACAAGGCCATTCCTGCAAGAAGGGGTCATCTTGTATTTTCTCTGAGGACAGAAGAGAGGACCTGGTCATGTGAGTGTGAGGAGAGAGAAGTCGTGCCTAGGTGACTAGGTTTATATCTGTATTAGAGTCAATTTCAGGGACTCCTTTTGTATTTTTGTGATTATAACTCTACCTGATAATTTCATCCAGTTATTCATTGATCAACTAGAAATTGAAGGCTTATCATATTTAAACCACTGTGATACACCTGATTTCTTCATCACACTCAGGCTATAAGAAATCTGAACTTTGTGTTAAGATATTGAGATATGTAGTAACATAGGACCAGAGACCAGGCACAGCCTTCTGGGTCCCATGGAATTAATGTCTTTCTACCAATCTGCTATCTTCCTTTTCATATTTGTTCAATTAGTATATCTTTCAAATCTTCATTTCTGCTTCTTTTTAGACCAATTGAATATATAAAATATATATAAACTTATGGGATTTTAGACATGCACTCACATGCACCTGTGTGATTTTCAAGCACCTGGGTCTGGGACTTGAACCATGGAGTCAGTCATGGGGGATCCAGCACCTTAACCTCCATGCCATCTGCTGGCCCCAACACCTTTTTGCTTTTTTTCAATCAACCTGTGTGTGTCAGGAATCCCCTTCTCAGTCTCTGTCTTGTTCCCACAACTGGTATAGTATTGATTACATGATGTATTCACAGTCATTCAAAACTACATATTTTGTTTTGTTTGTTTGTTTTTAGAGTTTTTTTCCTACAGGGCATGTGCACTTGCCAGAAAGACAGAGAGAGACAGAGAGACAGAAAGCAAGAAATCACCCCCCAGGGGGGATGGCCACACCACAATCCCTTCTCATCCATTCTCCTCTTGAGATCTTAGACATGCGCGCACACGTGCCCAATGTGAGTATATGCTACCGGGTCTGGGACACGAACCATGGTTGACTACGTGGGCATCCAGCAACATAGCCATTACGCCAACTGCTGGTCCCTACATATTATGTTTTTAAATTTGTACTTTATTATGCATTCTAGAAGTATTCAGA